ACACACACACACACACACACACACACACACACACACACACACACACACACCCCTTTTCAGAGCTTCACTGGGATATCTTTTTTTTTTCTCATGAAAAAGTTTATTCTAAAATAAGAAACATGTAAATAACAGTAGAATTAGGGAGTAGAAATTCAGGGGATCACTTCTGCCACAGCCCCACCCTGTCTGTGTCCATCCTTGGGTCTGCTTCCAGTTGGATGTGTGAACCTAGGTGACTCAGATATACCTAGAAAACCAGTAGGAAAGGTGAAGCCCCACAATGGGGGAAGGAAGGACGGTTAGGAGAATCGAGCAGGAAGGAAGGGTGTCTAGAGCAGTTGCTAACTTTCTCTATCAGACCTAACAAACGAAGAAGAGTGGTTGGGTGGGTAGGTGGGGATGGAGGAAAGGTGAGGTGACAAAGATCACATGCTGTCTTACAGGTCTGCTTATCGGATGGTGTACTTGTCCCACTTTTTCTCTGGGTCATAGGGCTCCCAGCGGTTGGCTGGGAAAATATGCTTGTTCTTCTCATACCAACTCCTTAGCACCACCTTTCCTGCGTGTGACTCATCCTTTTCTACTGTGGCATCACTGAGCAGTCGAATGTCATCATGGGCATCAAAGTTAAAGAGTGGGCCACTCTTCCCTCTGGCTTTGGTGACGATGAAGTCATAGAAGCTGTGATGATGAGGTATGATCAGATCCTCCTTGATGTACATGAGCTGCTCCACTCCCACTGACCTTAGCTCACTGAAGTCTTTCCGAAGGATCTCTAGAGCCTTCTGCAGGAACTGCTGCATCGTGTTCCCCTTCCTCATCTTTACCGCCCTTCGGTGCCCAGAGCCATCCCAGTAACTAAACGTGATTTCAATTTCTTCCCTCTTGATCTTCTGTTGCTTAGCCTCCCATTCCCGTCGAAGCTCCTCTCGGAGCCTATTTTCCTCCTCCTCTCTATCAAGGTCAGGAAGAAAGCTTGTGTCCACATCTGGGTTCTTGCCTAATTTTCTCTTCTTTGAAGAGATCCCATCTCCCCTGGGCTTGTTAACACGCTGAAGGTAGGAACCTGCCCTGTTCTTGTTCATGTCTACACTGCCTTCCCGGTCTAGATCTTCCTCACCCCTGTCTTCCTCGGGCTCCTCTTCCTCATCCAAAGTGAAGGACAGGCTGGAGATCTTCCGCTTCTCTTCCTTCTTGCGTTCCTTCTCTCGCAGTTTCTCCAGCTTGAGCTGAAGTTCTTTGGACTGTTCCTTCTTAGCCAGCTGCTTCTCCCGCTCCTTCACCAGCGCTTCCTGCTTGGCCTTCATGTCATTCAGGGTCACAAGACCCACAGTGCGGGACTTGAGCTCAGCCTCCACTGTGTCGTAATGAGCAGAGAATTTCTTGTCGATGTTGGACTTCATGATGTTCTCCTCAGTGATTCGCTGCTTCATCTGCTCCATTTGCTCCCGCTGCTTCTCCCGCTTCTTCATCAACTGCATGGCGCGGCCCCCCTCACTGATGGCACCCTTATACTGAGCCATGGCAGCGGCGAATGTCGGTAGGGACCCAGGCAGCGCAAGAAGAAGTCTGTTCTGCGCAGGCGCAGCGCGGCTTATAGCCCCCCGGCGATTACGTCATCGCGCTGTCGCGTCAGCATCACGTGGGAGGAGGAGGCGGGGTGCTGCGGCAGGAGAAGAGGAAGAGGAAGAGGAAGTGAAAGAGGAAGGGGAAGAGGAAGAAGGAGAAGAGAAAGAAAGAGGAGGAGGAGGAGGAAGAGAAGAAGAAGAAAGGAGGAGAAGAAGGAGAAGAAGAAGGAGGAGGAGAATGAGGAAGAGAAGAAGAAGGGGGGGAGGAAAGGAGGACGAGAAGAAGGAGGAGGAGGAAGAGAAGAAGATGGAGGAAGAGAAGAAGGAGGAGGAGGAGGAAGAGAAGAAGAAGAAGAAAGAAGGAGAAGAAGGAGGAGGAGGAGAATGAGGAAGAGAAGAAGAAGGAGGGGGGAAGGAAAGGAGTAGGAGAAGAAGAAGGAGGAGGAGGAAGAGAAGAAGAAGGAGGAGAAGAAGGAGGAGGAGGAGGAGAAGGAGGAAGAGAAGAAGAAGGAGGGAGAGAGGAAAGGAGGAGAAGGAGAAGAAGGAGGAGGAGGAAGATAAGAAGAAGGAGGAAGAGAAGAAGAAGGAGGAAGAGAAGAAGAAGAAGAAAGGAGGAGAAGAAGGAGGAGGAGAAGGAGGAGGAGGAGGAGAACAAGGAAGAGAAGAAGAAGGAGGGGGAAGAAAGGAGGAGGAGGAGAAGAAGAAGATGATGATGATATGATGATGATGATGATAATCTGGGCTCTTCTAGGAAGTCACATTCTCCTTTCCTCCTTTGGGTAAATCTTACTACAGTCTGCTCTTAAAAGAACCCCAGATGCTTTCTGTCCTGTGACTGGATCTTCTTCTAGTTGAAAAGGGGCTGGCTAAGACTATTATGTTATTCCAAGCTGGAGAACTAAGGTCATTGTTAATAAGGTGAAGAAATTCCCTCTGTCAATGTAGGTCAGCATCTTCTCCACAGTTTACAGTATTAGAGTTGCTCGCCGTAGTTAAGTGATTCATACAGGGTCACACGGGCATCATATAACGAAGGTGACAGAATTCAGGTATCACTGCCTCCGTGCCAGCTCTCTTTAAAACAAAACAAAAAAACTCTCAGCCCCCTCCACTTCCCAAGGAGAATATCAAAGAGATGGAAAGGAGATTATCAAGTGCTAAGAAAATCATAGACTTCATAGGAACATCCATGTAACTGTTGATAATCAATGTGTGATCGTTGTCCAGTGATGTATCACAGGAGGAACTTTACCCCCCTTCCCATTGTGACATTCACAATGTAAATGAAAAGAGAAGACAAAAGGAAGTTGCCTCTAAATGGAAGTACCACATAATACTCCATCCACCTTCAGTAACACCTGGGGTAGGAGAGGAGGAGGGAGCAGCCTGGTTAGATGCTTGATTGGAATAACCAGAGAGGGGAGTGACATAATTCTTGGACATGTGGAGAGACAAACCACTTCAAGGACAGACAGAGACCAGGAAGCAAGATGAGGAAGGGGGAGAGTCTCCTTTTGACTCTGATCTATCCTTGCTTAAACTCTGGCATTCCCCAAGTGATGAATAATTTGGGAGGGATAGGAAAAATAAGCAGTTAAGACTTAGCCCTGTCAGTGAACTACCAGCCAGTGAATAACAAACCAAGAAGCAATCAGAGGGAGGCTTGGAGGTTGCTGCCTGCCACAGAATTACAAGCAGAAATACAGACATCTTGAGAGTCAGCTCTGACTTTCATGAGTTGAACATTTGGGAACTATGTTTTATTGTATAAACTCCTTTTTTGTCACTCCTGGAGGGTGGAAAGAAACCTGTGGGGATACAGCAACTGAGATGTGTCCTTCCTAGAACTCATTGGTTTGTAGAAGACCTCCATAATTGTGTGTAGGGGGAAGTAATCTAGGTCTAGGAGAAATTGTGTTTGTGCAATCACATGGTAGATGTTCTATCATGCATTGCCTAAGTCTAAGAACATCTCACATGGTACCCCTGCATGTCTGTCAGTTTGTCTGGGTGGTCAATTCTGTTTTGCCCAGATCATATAACCAAGGCTTAGTGAAATACTCAGATTCATGGAGGAGCAGAGGAAACTGCTGGAAGGTGGAAGCTCAAGGGTTAATTCTGATTATGTAAATGCACAATATCTCACCTCTCAGACTAAGAACATAAGTATAGTCACCTACACTGGAGGGATAGAATGTCACCCTCTCTCTCTGATAATCACATAGAGCTTGATTATTCTGCAGCACTTCCTATAGGGTAGGCCAAAGTACATAATGTTCAAGGTGAGCATGGGACTTCTCAGTTCCAGGTCTTTTGGGTAAATAGAGTAGGATTAACAGCTAGAAATACCAACTGGTGGTTAAAAAAAAAGATGCCTCACAAGTTCTTCTAGGAGAGACAATTAAGAATAAATAATTTTTTTTGAACCGATACTCAAGGGTAACAAGAAACCTCCAAACTGGAAGAGACCTTCAAAGTCAGCTAGTCCAGCCCTCTCATTTTATAGTTGATGAAACTGAGGTAGATATGTGGCAAGTAATTATTTCACTTGGTGGTGCTCATGATTAATGTGGGGAAGGGGACCACTCCAAAGGCTGTGGCAGCTTATATGCCAATGTTGTTTCAGAGGATGAAAAAGTAAAGGGATTGTTTGTGGACCTCGACAAGACCTTCCAAACCAAATCAGCATATACCCTGATATTCAATGACTTCCATATGAAAGTAGGTACATAGAAAGGCAGTGAAAAATATATTGGAAAATGTGATTAGAAGTAGGAAATGAAAGAGGCCAAAGACTTGTAAATTATTTAGCAGTATCAGGATCATGTATATGAATACTTCATTCAAGAAAAATGTCGGAAGGTATTAGACATTGCAAGTAATGAATATCATCCCAAATGAAATTAATTACTGTATATTATAACAGGAAAGAAACAGTTGGTTGGTGTCAAGGGTGCTATTTCAGAATCAGCTACCTGTGTGCAGACAGATCATCAGCTTATTAGAACAAAGGTCAAAATTAACATCAAATTATTGGAAAGGATAAAGACGAAAAGAAGACATGGAATGTCATTACAACATTCACAACCTCAACTGATTTTTAAAAGCTGTGGTGCTCTGACAAATGGGAAAAAGATAAAAGTAAAGATATTGACCCTAAAACAATTTTAGAAAGAAATTTAACAAGTCTTGTAAAACAGTCACCCAAACAAGGAAGCCAAAAAAGCACAGAAACCATTTCAGCCAACAAACGCTTGTTCTCCTTGCCAAGTAGAGAGATCTGGCAGCTAAGGGCAACACCATTGAAGAATGTACACTTACTTGCAAACTATTATTGAGCATGGAAGATCATGAACAATATTATCTCACAGATCTATGGAAAATAGGGGGGTGGGAGGAATAACCTGCCATAAGTATATCATTAAGACCAAATTGAGTCATGTCATGAGCTTTTAAAGATAAAACTGGAAGGAAAACAACAAACAAGTAAAATAGAACAGTTTTTCCTGTAGTGATCAATTTTCATCATCAGTTAAAGTAGAACTGCCATGTGAAGAAGTGGAAATGGCACTTGAAAACAGTCTTGAAAAGCAGATAATAGGAACATAAGAAATATGAACATCAGAAATCTGTGCTAGAAGCAACATGGTCTTTAAATATACTTAGGGACTGATAGTCAAGATACCTCAAAAAAAGGGAGATTACAAAAGAATGGGGGGAAAATCACCAAGAATATTACTTTTTACTTTGATGAATCTGTGATCTCATCAACATTGGTACTCCCAATATTATATAGTATATATATATAGTATATATATAGTATACTATATATATACTATATATGGTATACTATAGTATATATATACTATATATAGTATACTATAGTATATATATATACTCTACTATATATAGTATACTATATATAAATATATAGTATATATAGTATATAATATATATAGTATATATTATATAGTATATATATGTTAGTGCAGATCACCACCTAAAGATGCCTTCACATCCTGTACAACTCATGTCTCTCTCCTCCTAATCTGCCACAACAGACCCACCCAGAGTTCAATAGACCTTCTTCTAAATCATTTGACTTTGCATGGATACCAATGAAGCATGCAGTTTATCTTTTTTTCTGGTCATTTGTCCGATGGTATCCTTTATATCATAAGTGTCTTCTGCAATTCCTCTTTGTACACAAATTGTACACAGAGTATTAATACTATTAAAAAAAACACTGAAAAGACATTGGTAACTACTGACATACATTTCTATTTTCTTATAGATATAAAATCTTTGAGAAAGGCATATGTGTATGTTGAAGGTATCCTTGATGAAAACAAAAGAGAACAATCAGGTTTTTTCAGAAAATTCTCTACAGCAGGCTACATCTTCACAGGTAGACAATTTTACAGAGATATGTAGAAAATGCACAGTTCTGCTCTGTTTATTGTTTACAAATAAACTTTTGCCTCAGGAGAGCAAACACAGTCTTGGGAAGTCTCACCATCCAACAAAATACCTCTATTGCTTAAGTTAAATTCATAAAAGATTCTTGGATCCATGCAAACACAGAAAGATCTTTGTTCAATCATCTTTTGTCAGTATCAAGCAAGACATAAAACTCAGTGACATTTACTCACAGAAAGTACTCAATGGTGTCATGGAAGATGTTCTGCACAAAGTCCTAACTTCCCTTTTTCTGTTGGGGGTACCACCATCTTCCTAGTCACTCAGGCTCATGATCTAGACGTCATATTTAACTCCTCAATCTCTCTTAACCCCAATCAGTTGCTCCACTCAGGCACCAAGTTCTGTCATATCTACCTTCATAACAATATGCTCCCTTCCTTCCTCTGACACTGCCACCGTCTTGGTACAAACCCTCATCACTTCTTTCCTAGACTATTGCAAATTCTGGATAGTCTCCTTGCCTCAAATTTCTC